TAATCAAAATTCAGGTTGTTAGAAACATAGAATTTCTTTGGTTCTTTTGCATATAGTTTCCTTGAACTGTGTTTTTGAAGAAAATGAGGTTTCATAGGAGAGGTTGCCAAGCTTTTTTTTTGCAAACTTGCTATTTGTAAACGCAGTCAGGGTAATTTTTTGCTTGAGTAAGTGAATTTTTTTTTCACTTATTATTTCATTTACGTCAAATATTTGTAAAGAACTTGCTATTACTTGCCATTATTATGCTTACCACAGTTGTGACTGCGCGTTGCTTCTTGAATTTTTTCCATTTTCTTCTTCTACACGGAAATAGGTACAAATTAAGAGCAGAAATTAGCCCTTAAATTGTATTCCAGAGAATAATTCAGCTAGGGCACTAGATTCTAGTAAATTCAGCAACCACTGTGTAGCCACAGATGTAACGAACAGAATGATGCCATAGACCCAGAGTTCCAAGATAAATCAGTTAAAGACGCCTCAGTTTTGACTTTAGCCGGCGTTTTTTTCATCACTCAGCAAGAGACATTACGGTATTCCCTTGCCATTCCCGATTATACACAATGGAAGAGCAGCAATAGGGTGTTCCATATATTTGTAAGGTACTTTTACGTTTTCCCATATTTCAGTAAAGAAATGAGCTATTTTTGTGCCGGAAATATGAAAAATAATAAACGGTGATTCTCTCCTTCCATCCACATTTTTTTTTTTTCTTTGAATTGTTATTTTTTCATCATTATTTTTGAATTTTTTCTCATTCAGTAGAGAATTGCATTTTTTGACTCGTTCACTCAAAACTGCGTTTTTCTCAGCAATTGCTCGGCAACCTCCATTTTTTTGCATAATTCTTATCTACTGTACATGCCGATTACAAAAAAAAAAAAAAAATCAACCGTGAATAAAAACAAAATTATAACGGTAAATAAGTTAAAAAGTATCTGTGAAAAATAAAAACCCTGTCACATTTCTGCTAATACCTCGACAGACAATGGACGGAAGAGAGAAGGAATTGGAATGCAAAGAGTTTAAACATCCAATAACAAAATGGTATTGAATAACACATCATGTACACAACCACAATAAAAGTTCAGCACACCTCTACAGAAGTCAGTTGGATAACCTCCAGCTTCCTCTCTATAACACAGTGGCATTGAGCCAAAACCGCTGCAGCTCCTCTAGGAGAAGACCCCAATGTTTGCAAAAAAATTTTACACAAATTGGAGATGACGACGCCTATAGAATCTGTTGCACTTTTGAAGTGCTGAAATGCTTTGGCTATAAGCCAGAATTTGAGCTCAATGAGTGCTATCGAATTTGTGGCGGGTAAAATAAAGGCTCGTTTTGTTTGGTGTGTGTCTGTATGAATATGCTGTAAACATACGCATATTTATAAGTGAAGAGTAAGGGATCGGTGTGCTACTGACTGTTAAGTGTCACTATGGCTGGACTTCACGTAGAGATGCTAGTGTTCTGCGTATGGTTCCTTAGATGTAGTTGCGGTCTGAATATTTGTTGATCTTCAATAAAATACACAGATGGTTTAAGTGCTCCACTGGATTCTGGGTGCGGATCAAGCTCATGCGCGTATGTTGTCACTGATTGTTTGTTGTACTGTAGTAGAAAGAAATTTATTGAACCAAATTGTTAGTGTTTGAAAACAAAAGAAATAATGTCGTTAACGAAGCAATAGGAAATTGTCTACTGCTCCTATCATTTTTGCTTGCAGCATTTGCTTCTCTATCGGATCTCTCAGTTACAAAAAATTTGACTGAAAACAGCGGTTTGTTGCAGTCGTCAACCAGTCAAGCCCTTTAAGGCTTCTCGAAAATAAAAGCAATGAGCGGTGAGGTCACCACAACGGTGTCTTCAACGCCGGAAGTGGGTCGACGATTCTATCGAACAAATGAAACGCCGCCATTAGCAACACTGATTCTCAGCGGTATTCAGGTATTACAGTAGCTTCGTTACTATGACCGCACTGATTTTATTGTTTACTTTATGAATTTTTTTGCTTAATATCAGTAATACACTATTCTTTTTGTAGCAAATAATGGTTTGTGTTAGCGCTTTGTTAACCATCCCATTTATCATTTCAAATGAACTTTGTCCTGGGAAAGATCTGTATTATTTTCGCGTAAAACTAATCTCGTCAACATTTATTGTTAGTGGAATATCAACAATAATTCAGACTGCACTTGGAATGAGGCATGTTTCAGCCTTTAATTTGGACAGTTTTTTGTTTCATTAAACCAACTATTTTTCTGCCGTATTTTATCGCTTCGCTTTGAGCTATCACTTTTTCAGGTTAGCCTTATTGCAAGGTACTGCTTTTGCATATGTTCCATCAATACAGGCGTTTATGCAACTTGAGGAATATAAATGCAAGGCTGCTGATGATGACGATGTTTCGAAAGCTGTATACGGTGAAAAAATGGCTATTGTAGGTTTTCATAGCTGCCACTTTTTTCGAACTTTTTATAGCCGTACAATCTCCTCGTGAGTTTTAAAAGAAGAGGTGGTGAGGATTGAGTAGTTGGAATGTCAAGAATGCAGAGAGGGCTCAAGTACTGCCACTTAATTTCTGATTAGTTTCGTCAGATAAATATAAATATAAATAAATAAATAAGTAT